GGGGGGGGGGTCCTTCATTTTTGAAACAACCATTTTGTGAGATTATAATGATCGATTGGGCTGTTGGATGAATATGAAATGTTTTTTGAAAAAAAGTTTTTTAAGGGACGTCCAAGGGGATGCTATCCGTCATCCCTTATCCGTATGACGCAGGCTTGTCTCTTTCTAATTGTATCAGCCCTTGAAAATTGTACTTTCACGTCTTAGCGTCCGTCCTTGCAGCTTGATTCTAACGGGTGAGCAAAAAATAGGTTATACGCAAATTTGGACAATCATATACCCCGTTATAGTTGAATCTGAATTCGTCTCGATTCCGTGTTTCGCCGATGCTTCGCGAAGCAGTCGCTGCTAATATTGGCCTTTTTCCCGATATTTCCAGCCGATTAAAGACCATAGTGCTTCTGGTAGGACAGACCGAGGAGTACGGGAAAATAAATGAAAAAGGTGGGGGCAGTGACAGCTGACTGACATGTTGACATACGACGGCTAGTTATAACATATGTCTTTTAGGAGCGTACGTATCTCTATATGAGCGTATATATATGTGTATATATATGTTAAGGTTTTATCTGGATTACCAATAGGGATGACCTCGCGAGGTCATCTCTTAACTAATCTCTATGACGATCTTATCTCGGTATCTGTCCATCCTGTATTATTTTGACAGGCAAGAAAAAAAAAAGGAAGAAGAAGAAAAGTCGAGCCTCGTTAACTTCTTGGCCCGTCAAAAACTCATTGGCCCCGTGTTGAGTCGTTAGGGCTTGTCAGGTTGGCACGAACTTATATCGGTGTAATAATTCCCCAAGAATTCATACACGGACAGTCGCCTTACGAAATATGGCGTTCAAAGTGGTTCCACAGTTTAGTAACTTTCTAGGGGAATTAGTAACGGCGACTGACCTACATATGTATCTTACAGTAGATTTATCCCCTGGCCGGTCAGACGTTTTAGCTCTGTTTACACGATCTAAGATGAGGTGAACGGTCAGTCGTGCTAATCAGGTCGGCCAACCTGACCGTAAACAATGAAACTTTCTACCATAACTGTTGGACTAATCGAAAAAATTTTTTAACTATCTTTCATTAGCAATATAATTTAAAATGAATTTTTTTTTTATTCTAAAAAAAAATTCCTAGTCACCAAATTGTCAGTCCGCGATCAGTCGATGTCAGAAATCGATTTCCCACGTCTGACTAGTAACATACCTTATTCACTATAGTCAGACAGACGACAATGGTCTTTTCAACGGTTGGCAATAATTCCCTAGGCATATACTTTCCATTGATATCCATAAACGTTTGACTATGATTTATACGTAGTTCACGAGCCTTCCATCACGTTCGAGGAACGTCGTTAAACTTAGTATATATATACGTATACCTCCGCTAAACACATTATCCGTATCAAAGTCGCCATAGTAGTCCGACCATCTTACTATGTATATATATATATATATACCCGCACAATACTTGACGCCAAGTAGAAACTTCCCGTAACCCTAAAGGCCTGGACAAACTTATCCCACAGCCTAGGGACTTTCAGAAGTGTACTCTCTTAGCTAGGGAAGCTTAGCTCGCTACACGCTTTTCATATGGACGAATGGATCATTATACAAGACTGTACACGGTGTACGAATATCACAGACCTTATACCCGGGATTACCCAAGACATTATAGTAACCATATACAAGGCAGAACTTCGTACAATAAAGTGGTATATAAAGTGATCATACTTGTATACAGATATACGTGTCTACTGAAAATAATGAAAACACTCGATATATGAAGTCTTTGAGAATTTCATTTGAACAGCTGTTAAAATTATAATTTTCTATTTTAATAATCATTACGATAAATTGCCATTCACGTAACCTTCGGATATCATGCCTACATCGCGTGACCTTTGTACCTGTTGCAGAGGTGCGTTCTCCGTGGTACGACGATGCGTACAGAAGAGCAGCGGCCTCGAGTTCGCGGCGAAGATCATCAATACTAAAAAGCTTTCGACCAGAGGTGAGTTCGTTGTTTTACGTTTTTGGGTAAATTTTTTCTTTATAATCGCCTCTACGAGACTCGACGTCCTTTCGTTAGAGTCTTATGGACTTTCGTTCGCCGTCGCTAGGGGGCGTCCTGGCGTTCGACTCGAGAAAGACGTCCGTATGTTTGAACTGTGCGCCGAGACGCGTCTGGCGTCTAAAAACGACGCGACGTCGTTGTCATTGTGCCAACATTCCTGGGGGGACCAACAGTTGGCAGTTAGTGTCTACTACGGTCATTGGGTTGGAAAATGTTATTCGCCTTGTTTGTAAAACGATAGCGATACTTTTGTGTGTATATATATATTTTTTTTTGTTATTCAGGACTACCGAACCACCTGAAGATGGTTCTGTTCATTTGATTTTTTAATAATTCACAATAGCAGAACCATCTTCAGGTGGTACAGTGGTATATATCTGGTTGGTGGTATGTATCTGGTTTCAGAATGAACGGTCTGAAGATGGTTTTACCATGAGAATCGAATTGAGCTAACTTCACGTAGCTCTATAGTGTGTATAGGAAGAGGAAGTGATGTATGGGTATAATATGGATGGAATCTGTAAGAGATTAGGGTTTGTATTGTAGGCGGATGTTCGTGGGATGATCGGTGTAAGGATTTGACCTTTGAACCTGTATTTGTAAGCTGAAGTAGAAATAGGTCTATGAAAAAACGCTGGGATTTTGGTGGGTAATCATCTGTATCCTTTTTATCGTGGATTTTCGAGAGAGAGAGGGGGGGGGGGACGGGGTGAATCGGACGGCCATGAGAATCGAATTGAGCTAACTTCACGTAGCTCTATAGTGTGTATAGGAAGAGGAAGTGATGTATGGGTATAATATGGATGGAATCTGTAAGAGATTAGGGTTTGTATTGTAGGCGGATGTTCGTGGGATGATCGGTGTAAGGATTTGACCTTTGAACCTGTATTTGTAAGCTGAAGTAGAAATAGGTCTATGAAAAAACGCTGGGATTTTGGTGGGTAATCATCTGTATCCTTTTTATCGTGGATTTTCGAGAGAGAGGGGGGGGGGGGTACGGGGTGAATCGGACGGTAAGCCAATTTTATTGGCGAATATTTCGAACTCTATGGAAAAGTTTCCTTCTCACTTCCGGTTGGTTGGAATAAGTGAATTTATGAGTCCTACGGCAGGATCGTATCCGACAATTTGATTTCTTCCGTATAAAAGAAAAACGAATTTTTGTAATCACGACCTACGATAGGAATGACGTTTGACCTTTTTTTTTTTTATTCAGGAACAGAATTTTTTCTGAAATTTTGCATATCGCACGTGTCCAAGTTTTCCGTCTACTTGAGAACGAAAATAATATCGAACGAAGCCAAAGGAGCCTTATAATCGAATCAATTAAAATACAATAGCCAACTTATCCGATAAACGGCATCGAGTTACGATTAATCGAATTAGCGGGCAGACGGCAGCAGTTAGGGAATAAGTAAACCCTGAGTGCACTTATGTACAGTACCGTGTAGTATATACCTATATATGTATCAGGAGAATCCATAACTGTATTCTTAATTGTTAAAACGACACGACGAATACACAAGAAGGATAGACACTCCCTGTATAAGCTTGTTTAATTAGAAAGCAATTAAAGTCAAGAAAAAAAGGAGCTCCCATGCCACTGGATGGCCCTATTAACGTTAGAAACGACTAGAGGAGAAAGATATTGTGGGGAAGATAACGGAATGGCGGCCATGTTGTTAAAAAAAATTTCTCAATTCCCCCCTGGCTCTGATGTATTAATCCGAAACGGTTTGACGAATTGATTCGACGTGAAAGAGACTTTAATAATGGGCTACTGTATACAGTGACTGGGTGACAGGTCCCTTGTTTTTATTCGTAGCATAACTATACGTGTATGTACGTATATACGTACCTTGAGTTTGTAAGCAGCAGGCAGAGACTAAGGTTCGTCATAATATATCCAGTTTACATATATAGCTATCAAAACTTCATCACTGGTTCCAATATGGATCTCAGGATGCGATGTCAACCATGTAGTCGAAACGAAGACTATTTGTTTTGCCTTGGTATGGCTGTCAGGCTTAATCGTACGGGACGCGCGGCGGCCATTTGTATATTCGTATAAATATATGCAGCGGTATATATATAGATATGAGTGGACCCGAACGCGCCCGAAAACGACCGAACATAACCGAGCGCGTCGAGTCGTTTATAATTCGAGTGGCTGGTTCGTCTGTGTATTTCCGAAAGGTTTGAAAAGATGATCGCACTTCGGTTTTTATGAACTTTTTTTTTAACGCTTACTCGAAAGGAAGGATTAATTGGTTTTAATTTTTGTTTTTTATTTACACGTTATTGGCTCTTCTTGCCTTCCGAATGCCACTCCTGCCATTCGGGAACGTTGAAAGGAATATCTGTGGGATTGAGGTAAAAAGGATGTCGAGATCAGTTACTTTTAAGTGGACACGATCAACCGGATGCCTTTGCGTTGCTACTGGTTTTGCTAAGGTGACTAGTTTCAGATTTCTTGTCGTACGACTCTTGTCAGTGATAATTGAAATAACGCGTGGATAGTAATTTTACTTCTGGTAAATTCAGTATTTTGTTTTTCTGTTAACTTATAAGTTTTTAGCATTTTCGGAGGATCTCTGTACGCTTCGTTAATGTTTATGGTGTCTTCTTTGAGTCCTGCAACGTTTCCTGCACTTGCCGCGATCCAATTACGTTGGCTCGTCTGCCAGATGGAAAACGCAATAAACCCAATCAACAATTAACAATGGATTCCAAGTCGCAAATGTTAACTCGCGTGCACGCACGTAATGCGAATTCGCGAAATTGACAATTTCACGCGTTCCTCTACTGCGAACTATAAAACATAACCTCGTTTACCGACGCCGACGTTCGTTTCTTTTGTCCAACTGTAATTTCAGGTATTAGGCGCGCGGGTAGCGCGTTTGAATACCCAACGGCGACTGAAGATTGCGTAGGGAGCGTTCGTCAAACAGAAAAAAAAAAGGGTAGACTCTGTATACCTGGGGCTGGCCTAAGCCTTTGTTATGATTTTTTTTATCGCGACATAACCTCACAGAAGCCTTTATTTACCAGCAATTCGGTCGTCCTTGTAGAAGTTTAGTGTTACACAATTTTGAACTACTGGCTCGTAACGGTCATTCAAGATGGCGCGGGTGCAGTTTGTTCAGTACAGAAAAAAGTATAACTAGGATTTAGACCAGACCGCTAACGCCTTTTGTTATGTCTTTCTTTATCATATTTAGGATCACGCGCCTCAAACAGACATAAATCAAACGTTGAGAGAGAAAAAATGAAGAAACAGAATAGATACTAGAGGATATATACAAAGGAAATAGTACGAGCATTAAATAAATAGAAAAACCACAATTGCATTACGTACAGCCATTACGTATTGACTCCCGTCGCCAGGATACTTTATGTAAGCGACACGCGTAAATCTTCCGTAAGTAATTTTTACCTTACATTCGTCTTGTTGCGCAATTTTAAAGCTTCGCGAAACTTCACGGAAAGATATTACGGAGTCAAAGATATTACTGCGCTCATTGTCTGGTGGGTCGGCACAGATGAAATGGCGCATTTTCACGTGCAAAAGGTACCGGATAGATAGTAAGATTACATAGTGGGTTATTTAATGGCTCTGTGGACACATATATATAACACCCTCATTTGGGAATATGTCTGCAATGGAGTGGCTGAGAGACGGTTAAAAAAAATATGGAGGATAATAAATTAATAAACGAAAAAGGAAAATCGTGGGGAATTTTAGCCGTGACCTTGTTCCAGTGACCTGACCTAATCTCCAACTCCTCTCGCTTATTTACTATATATATATATTGATATATTGATATACCCCAGCTAATGTGCATTTACTGCCTATATATATATCGTTTTCGAGTAAATGGAGCTATTCTGTGTCTTTGTATAGGCGCGCCGTGTTCTTGTCGCTACATGCGTACTACCTATGTATGCCTGCTGATATATGAATATAAACTCCATCAGGAACTGTGGCGCTTTCAGAGAGGCTATCCAATTCCGTTCAATTACATTGCTAGGAAGTAGAACGTTCCTCGGCTCGTATCTCCGATCCCTTTCCTATAGTATTTCAATGGACGCGCGGAACGCTTTTTTTTATTTGTTAAATCCAACCATCCGCCATATTGCTCACTGGGAAAACACGTGATAATTTAACATGGAGGATTTTATAATTTCTATTTATTTCGCCACCCGTTATATTTGTACTCTTTTTTTTTTTATCTACAGACATGCTATACCTGTTGGATCCATTTTTAGAACACCGGCAAGAGTATACCGTATGGTTTTGTTGGTAATTTATTCTATTTTGACTTTTGTATTTTTTTTAAATTTTTATCCATACTCGATATGCATATATATATATATATATATATATATATATATTCTAATATGATGATTGTAAATCGGTAGGGAATCTCTTGTTCATTTTGAATATTAATAAGACCTATCAAGAAACCCCTTTAGAATGTCTTAAGAACGATTTGCATTTCTAAATCGAGCCACAAAAGCCAGTTAGATGCTGAGACCCCTGTCAAAATATCACGATTAGATCTTCTAATGCCTCAGAGTTCTACGAGTGCTGCGATGCTTAAGTGACAGAACTATTTTTGACTTTTTTTTATTTTACTGCTGCTGGTTCAGCCATAGGTGACCCGACCCCTATTTTTGGTGGTATGAATTAAAAAAATTTTTTTTTTTCTTTATTTTAACACGTCTCGAATATCTTTACAATTGAATTCCTTTGGTAGGCGGCAATCCTGGCTTCAATCGGAGATGCTTATCGTGCCAATCAATAGGGTCAAGAAAGTCGCTGCTATCGTAAATGTACACAGAGGTAAACCTACCTCAAGAAAGTCGCTCAGTTATTTTTACACCATATATAAGGGTTGCTGGCGTGTACGTACGCTCGCCTCTCCTTCTGGTAC